AAAAAAAAAAGAAAGAAAGAAATAGACATTTTCTCTGATCCTAATTGTTTGTGTTTGGTTTCCTTCAGCATGATTTTGAAGTCAGAGGAGATGTGATCAATGGAAGAAACCACCAAGGCCCAAAGCGAGCAAGAGAATCCCAGGACAGAAAGGTAAAGTTCCTTCCCCCTAAAACCCTACCCCACCACTCTGTATTCCAGTCCTCTTGGTGGAGATGGTCCCTTCATCTTGTAAGGCTCTTTACGTAAATGGTGCTAGAGCACCAGCTGGATGGTTTCATAGGGGTTATGTTTTATTTTTCCTAGCCCAACAAAGTAAGTATTGTCACTGTTTTATGAACAAAGAAACTTAGAGGTTTAGAGCAGCTGTTTAGTTTGGGTTCCTGTCTGGGGTTCAAATCTCAGCTAATAAGTGGCAGAGGTGGGACTTTAAATAGATGTGAACCTAAAACTTTTGCTCTTCCCACTTTACTGGAGTGTATTTCTCTAAAGTAATGTGATAAGTGCTCTAAGCAGGATGTGTGTACATAGTGCTTTTTTTTTGAGAGACAGAGCCTCAAGCTGTCGCCCTAGGTAGAGTGCCATGGTGTCACAGCTCAGCAATCTCATACTCCTAGGCTTCAGTGATTCTCTTGCCTCAGCCTCCCAAATAGCTGGGACTGCAGGCCCCAGCCAGATTCAAACCCACCAGCTCCAGTGTATGTGACTGGCGCCTTAGCCGCTTGAGCTACAGGCACCGAGCCACATAGTGCTTGCTTCGGATGCATGAAAAGAGGAAATGATTAATAACCAACAATAACTAACACTTTATGTAATGTTTACTATATCCCAGGGATTACCTAAACACTCAACTGTGTTATAACTAATTAGCAATTATCAACAACTTTATGAGGTATGTGCTATTGTTACTTCTATTTACAGAAGAGAAAATTGAGGCTTCAAGAGGTTGAATGAGTTGTCCAAGGGTACATAGCTAGTGAGTGATGGAACTAGAAGTGGAACCCAGAAAATCTGGCTCTAAGTCTAAAATCACAGTACTATTGTTTCTAGAAAAATAGGCTTCACAGAGAAGAAAACTAAATTATTCTAACAACTTTACAAATGGAGGTCTGGGAAGACTTAATGACTTTCCCTAGATCATACTGAAGCAAATGCTGCTGCCAGAGGTATGTCCTCTGCTCAGGAAGAAGTCCATGCAAGATTTCACACCTGCATGTCAGGCCTGAGCTGGCTGCTTTCTCAGTCCCTGACTAAGGCTAATGTTCTGGGTCTGTTTTCTTCCTTTTTTAAGCATGTACCAGCAATCGTTTCTGAACATCCCCTCCCAGTGTACCTTTTGTCCCTTTACAGAAATTTTAGAAGGAACAAATAGAGGTGGTTTTCTGCTGGGTGTGGTGGCCCACACCTGTTATGCTAGCATTATAGGGGGCCGAGGCAGAAGGCCTGCTTGAGCTCAAGAGTTTTAGACCAGTCTGAGCAAGAGTGAGACCAGACCCCATCTCTACTAAAAATAGAAAAACAGGCTCGGCGCCTATAGCTCAACCGGCTAAGGCGCCAGCCACGTACACCTAAGGTGGCGGGTTCGAATCCCCAGCCTGGACCCGCCAAACAACAAT